TGTGTGCTCATATTTTCTTTTTCTTTTTTTTCCCCAGATAATGTAAGTTAAATCCATTTAAAAAAAGTTTATATATTATTTTTTGCTTTATCAGGCAATAACGTACTCATAAATAACCCCCCAAAAGGGTAGGAGCATTTCGCTGGTGACTGTTATATTAGACCGCGAGCTCACATCTAAAATTATTTTTATTTTATTTTTTTCTTCAAAAGAACCAAAGAGGGAACAAAAATCTGATTATAGGATTACTAGAATCATGCAATTGGGTATTTAGCAAATATATTAAACGGTTAATTTTAATAAGAGATGAATGAAATACTGTAACAATCAAGTGTTCAGATGTGAGTGTTTAAAATCCATGTCAAACATGGACAAACAACACACCAAAACATTTGTGCCTAATAGCCTATATATATATATATATATTTACATAACACTTACACATAATATATATCTAAACAATCTGCAGTTAACTGAAAATACTAAACACAACAAATGTCTCTAGTTAACTATAAAGTCCATTCACTTCGATTGTAAATTTGATTTTTCATGATACTCATGTGAAGTGTGCTACCATGCATTCAAACACAGTATATGTAAATCCAGCTTTCTCATGACGGCCATAAGACATAAATAAGCACTTCTGTGTTGAGAGAGATTATACTAAATATACTGCTTTTTAGATCTGATGCACTGATAACATTCAATTAAGTTCAATCCAATTCAATTTAATTTTATTTATCAATCAATCAATCAATCAAAATTTATTTATATAGCACATTTTTAAGACCGAAGTACACCAAAGTGCTTTCCATTAAAATCGCAGTACAAATAAAATCACAATGAAATATAAATTACAAATATATAAAATAAGATAATTACATAATCTAAATACAGAGCCAGATGTAAATTACCCTAATTCGCCTTAAATGCCAGATCAAACAAATACGTTTTTAAACGTGATTTAAAAGACTGAATGGAATCTGACGCGCGAATATGAAGAGGGAGAGTATTCCATTATGTAACGTCAAATCACAAAAACAGTTGCCTCAAAGTGCCTATAACTATACTAACCAAATGTCCAGCTACTGGCATGTTTTCCACAGCATTGGTGGCTGTTTTGGCTTATATCTTTATAAATTATAAGTGAATGATTGATTAACCATTAATAAATGCACTGTTTGCAATTATGTAATGGTAACATTGTAAAAAGTAGACTCTTACATTTACTTTGCTGCAGATGAAAAAGTGGCTACTCTTCGAGAAGTGTCTATTCCCCCAGCTGCTGATGTTACCATCATTGTACAGGTATGCATTCATCCATCCATTGAGTCAGCCAATCAACTTTAAAATCTCCAAAGTTATACATTTAATTCTCACAAATATGCATTTAAAGCAGACATTAAATTTAAAGATTTAAAATGATCACAGTCCTCACAGCATTTGTTGAGATTTGATTAATCTTTTATGTGTAATTATGTAATTGTTCTTTCTTATCATGTGTATTTTTGGATTGATTTGTTTTGTTTTTGTTGTTTTGACTTTGACTTTAAATCATTGATTGTTAATATTATTAAGTATAAAACATGAATGTGCTCTTTTGTTGTTTACTTATTAAAATATTGCCCATTATATTATATTATATTACATCACCTTTTCAGATTGTCAGCAGTGCTTTTGGGCTGAACTGCTCCAATGTTGTGTTCAAGGTACATGTGTAAAATACAGGCATTTCTCTAAACGTTTAGTGGAAGTGGGTCCATGTGTCAAAAATGATTAATGAAAAAAAAAATTGGTGGGAGCTCTTGAAAACACAACAAGCTGATAAGTTTCCTCTGTGTGTAGATAAGGAACCATCATGGCCATCTTATCCCTCTGAACAGCTCCATCCCTGCTAACAGCAAGCACATGTATGTGGTCTGGTGATGTAAAAGTCTTTACATTTAATCACTGCATACTGAAAATATATAATCAAGCAGTTATATATTTTTCTTCACAGACCTTACGTGCTTGAGGTTGCAAAGATCTTTCAGCATGGTAATCAGTGTGTTTATCTTTAACAGTCTGTAAATGTTTCTACATTTCATAATCCTGTTAATGGAATAACTACAGCCAATCAGCTTAGCTTATGGGATATACAAAGGCAATGGAATTATGAACAAACCTTGTATCAAATGTGGTGCTGGGAGGGGTCCCAGCACCTCTATTCTGGAAAAAGTATTTGCAATGATTCATTTGCTGTAAAAGAAAAATAGAACATAATATAAAGTATTAGATTTTCTTGTCATGGGACAGTTTTTTAAACAACAGACAGAAATTTTAGAAGGTATCACAAATGGAATATCCTAAAGACTACTCTTGGTCAGCATCCACATCCTGTGAATGGAACCGCAGCTTTAATAGTAGCAGTGAATGGACTCGTTTTCCTTTATTTTGGATGGGAAACACATGAAACACTTAAACATGAATCAGTTTATCATGGCTAAATTATTCTACAAATAGTAAAGAAGATACAGAAAGAAAGATCACTACAATGTATAGTCCTGAACAAAAAGGCACCTTTTTGATTTCTGTTTGGTTTCATATTACTTCAGTGTGTCCCAAGCCGAGAACCATCCCCATGACTGTGATCAATAAAACTATGAACACAAGACTACAGACTATTGAAAGAAGGGTAAGTGCAAGTATTCTTTAATGAGAGTACAGTACAGTTAGTGGTTTGGCAGTAGTCAACAGACTGATCTCCGAATGAATATATTAACGACTTAATAACAGATGCTACTTGTCTGTAAATGATTTTAGATTGTATTTTTAATTATAGATACAGAGACTGGAAGACCTTCTTCCTCAAGTCAAACTCAGGCGTAATGAAAAACTAACCCAGGTATTTAAACTTTCTTAAAGCGGTGAATGCACTGAGAAACGCAGAACCATATTGAAGAGTTTTAGCCTCTTCATCAAATCTCTTAACCCATTAAATCCCCAAAATTTCCCTGCAAAATCAGTGCATGCATTTTACTCCTTAGACATCCCCTACACACAATATGTTTAATTATTTTTTAATGTCGTAGGGGCTTAGAGCAGCAAAAGTTGTTCCCAGTGGGTTTAAATGGGTTAATATTACAGTGAGTTTTTAAAAAATCAAACACCTGGTCATTATCTTTTTGTTTGTATCAGGAAATTGAATGTCTCAACCAGAAGTTGAGGTTTCTTCATCAGAGAATGCAGGTAAATCAAAAGTAATTATCATCCAACTTCTGCACACAGGGTAGTTTAGTAACTAACTTAAAAAGTGAAAATCTATTATGGCACATTCACATAGGATAAGGCAGGGTAAGATATCCTTTATCGATCCCCTTCAATTCATTCCCTTCCTTTCACTCATCAGCATAAGGAGCAGTTGGTATTCACTGTCAAAATATCTGGTGGACCAACTCCAGTTAGAAGCCAGTGCCTTGAACAAACACAAGCTGACATGAGAATTAACCTAGCGTATTTTTTTTTTTTAATTATAAATTAAAATAAAGCAAAATCTGTGTCTTTTTTTATATAATTCCTTTTTCTATTATGACATTGGGGATTTGTCTATTTATGATGTGCTTTATCACTCATCTGCACCTTAAATAACAGATTGAGATATACAGCACTTTTATTTACTTTTATTTCAAATACAGTTGAGTATAATGAATAATGTGTGTTAGACATATTTACATTGTTTAGGTGTTTTTCTTTTATGTTGGTTCTGCTCTGAATTGTTGCAGGTAGCAAATTCTCACACATGGAAAGGGGTGTTGATCAGAGCCCCTCTGTGGTAAACTGAGAGCTGCATTTCAACTGCAGAGCAATGGTTATAATTGCCATCATGGTGCATCATGTACAGCTGGTTCATGATTTGTGTTTCCTATGTTATAGTGTTTCCAACTACTTATATTATTTATATTAGGATTTCAAACACCTGTAGCCATCCATCTAGTCACAGTCTGGACAAAAAGGCCTTAAACATTTAGATCACAGACTCGTGTTTGTATTCTCCAGGTTAATGCTGATAGTTCTTTCGTGTACTGCTTTTCTGTCTTCAAATGTAGTGAATATATTCCTGTCACCCACCCAAGTATAAGAGCAATATATCTGTAAGACCTTCACTTACTTGAGTAGCAAACAAGTAGCAAACTCATTTTGACTGGTGAACGATGAGTTTGACTGTATACTGTGTGTACCTTGAAATAAATAAAATAATTGAAGGAAAAAAAAAATAGTCTGACTGCATTATTTGTTATTAATATTTATTCATTTTGGAACTCTTATGCTCAGAATCTTTGTTGTTGTTTTCTCTTACTGGTTGTGAAAAAGACAATGGTTGCAAATGTTGGGCAATTTCCTGCCTTTGTAACAAATGATGCAAGCACTGAAACCGGTCAGGTCTGTCACACAGTGTTCAGTAATTTTTCTTGTGAAGGGGATTATGCATATCCAATTGCGACATAATATGCAAAGGCTAGGTGGCATCATGGGATTTTATGAAAAACTGTCATTTATTTGTCAAAACAAATGCTCAGAAATTTCTCCCTTATTGGTCCCTTTAGGCACTGTGCATTGAACTTTTTGATGTTAAAAGTGAGCAGTAGAGTTTGTTTTCAGACACTGCTGAATCATCATACTGGACATAACTTCAGTTTACACGTTATCCAAACAAGTCTTAAATGACTGGATTTGAAGAAAAAAATGAATACAGACACTTCACTCTGACAAATTTTCCAATTTTAGACGAAAATGATAGGCAAAAGGACAAAAAATGTATCTAACAGAAATTAATTTGATTTGTTTTACTAATATATCTATAATTAAATAAAATACATATCATGCAGTAGTTGAAAACATTATTTTATTAAAATTATCGTAGATTCATCAAGAAATGTCGTTTCATGTGATCGTCTTATACAGTAGGTGGCGGTGCATCCTCCAGCTGACTCACGTACAACATGGAAATGAAGACACGAAGAAGTAGCATTTTGTGTACAGTTAGCAAAAGGGCATGTTTGCTATGACGGCATTAAAGTTAGATATTGGCGGGCTTTGCTATGTTTTTCGTAACGTTTGTAATAGTTTTTCGTGCTCAAATCCTTCGGTTACAAAAACAGATCAAATAAACAGTCATGTATTAAGTGGGTAATTAACTAGCGGTTAGCCTGCTATCTGCAGCTGCGTGTCTCAGTTGACTGAAATGTCTTATAGACGGGCACTGGTGGATTGTGCGGTGTTGTCTCTGCAAGATCCCTGTGTGTTTTATCCGTGTTGCAGATGCTGTTTCTCCAGGATTGATGTTGACCAGCAGGACACTACGAGGTAAACACAAAGGTTCAGTTGTAGCCGAGAAACGGTAGCATTGTGAAAATCCCTTTAGAAACTGTGCTGAGAGGACTGTATCTAAGTGAGATACAGTCCAGTTAAAAGTGAATGGATTTCCTTTAGAAAATTAGAATATTTTTTTATACAATGTATGTTACCTCCGTTACCTGACAGTATATGGATACTGGTCAATCGTCTCTGTGTACCCACCACAGATGCAGATGCTTCAAGTGTGGTTACAAGTGCCTGAGAGAACAGGTGGATTACAGGTACCGTCTCTCACTGAGGGTGGCCCGGGACGGACGTATATTCGGGATAACAGTATTTGGAAACAGCTTGAAACCATTCTTTGGCATTCATGCAAATGAATTACAAAGGTGAGTACAGAAAACACAATGCAAGTTCCTATTATCAAGACTGAATAACTGTTAAAATGTTTTCCCAGGTTTAGGAGTATATATTGGGATAAACATATAAGTTGAGGTCATAGTATGTGATGGAGTTGGTGTACTGGTTGTTGTCACTTAGGGTTTACTACACCTCCCTCCGAATATAAGAGGGTGGAGAAAACATTAGAACACCAGTGAGTGCTTTGCAGTTCAGTACAACACCAGGACCACCATCCACAAAAATGCCAGAATTTAAAATTTTTGGCAAGTTTCTATTAACCCCCCCAAAAAGAAGGAAAGAAATGGCAGTCCTATTGTATTAAATTTAACAGGTGTACCTAATAATATGGATACATGCTATTTGTTTTGTACCTCTTCTTTTTAAAGTGCAGATTTTAGTGGTTTTTTGTCAGTTTCAAATGACTACAACGTGTGAAGAACATAACATCTTCTCTGATGGTTAAGTGAAGAGCTGTGTGGGCTTTGTGTCTTTTATAGATTGGTGGAAAACTTGGACAGACCCGTGGAACAATCTAGAAGACTCACATTGCTGGTGAAGGCAGTCGAGGACTGTTTCATTGGCAGACATTTCATTTTTGGTATAAAGGTACATTCGTAAATCACGTGTGTAAAAGTATTATGTGACATGCAAGATCAAAAGTTATTCAAATACATATGAAGACTTAAAAATAGGCATTCAACATTTTAGTCACTATTGCTGTTTGGAGGTTTTTTTGTTTTCTTTTTATATAACTTGAAATCAGTGACTTCCTGGTCACACAAAACAGCAGAAATTAACTCAAACTCAATTGTCCATATTTTTTTATTCCTGCTGTTACTTTGAACATAAAATGATTTAAAAAAAAACATGAAAAGCAAGACAAACTATGCAACAATTAAATAATAAACGTCTCTCCACATTTCACAATTTTAGTTTCTCAGTTCACCATTAAAGAAAATAAAATAATAGGATCAATATATGTCCAAAATGTGTTCTAATTATGCTTACTTTATTTTTGCATTGTTTGAGCTTAGCTGTCTGTGGTATCATCTGTGTTGTTTAGGTGATGGAAGCAGAAAGTGCGCTTTGGTTTGGAGGACCTGTTCTAAGTGGCTCCAGCAGTAAAAATGCAGCACAGTTTGTTGCTACTCAGATGATTCTTCCCAAAGCAACGGGAATGGGAGGATGCACCGTGGTCAGTTATTATCGGGTTCTTCTTCAGAAAGCTTCTGAATCTGAACTTGTATCTGCTGATACCAGCAGAATCTCCAGTCTTCCAGCAACAACCCCGCTCCTCATTCATGATCATTCTCCAACTAGCAGCTTTAGTGATGCCACACTATCTGCCTCTCATCTTTTGCCCCGATCACTTCAAAGGTAATGAAATTAAGAAATGATACAATCTTCTGTATTTTCTGTCCAAAAAAACCCTACTAACTAGAGAGTCATGTACTCCTATGTACTATTTCTTTGTAGGGACTACAAAATAACAATAAATGGCTCTGAAAGCCAAAGTAAAAACCACACATATTCTCATAAGCTACTGATATTGACTTCTAAGCATGTGGGTGGAGGTGCTGTTACATTACATGCAAAAATGATAATTGATAATAGCTTTTGTTTCCTTCCTAGATCACGTTACATAGACTGCACCCTTACTCCCACAGCTCCATGGCAGCAATCACTTGGACTGGTTACATCATCAGCAGAGCAGGAAGAAGGCTGCAGTACCCAGGAATGTGGAGATGAAAACAGAAGTCAGGCTGACAAAAGTGTAACACCATATCTTGCACAGAGGGGTTGCCAGGAAAACCAAAAAGTGGAAAAGGACTTGGCTCCTTTTTTCTTATTGCAGCACAGTTTTTATGAGAGTCCATCATCTGAGAAGGGAGCTGGAAACAGCCTTAGCCTAAAGACTTGGTTAAGGCCGTCCCAGTATTGTCAGAATAGCCCCAAAGAAAAGGAGTTTTCTACTGGACAGCTCACCAGAACATTTTCATCAAGCTCATTGGCTTGGAACGATTTGCCTTTCTCTGAAAGTCTGACAGAGTTTTTATGTGAAGCCAATAAAGATTTTGACACTGATAGAGATACGAAACAAGTTCAGAATGTTCACTGGAAGGAAGTAAAGGCAAGAAATAACCTGGGAAACAGCAGCTTAATAAGTGAAACATCTTCCCAAAGAAATGCACAAATAACAGACAGGCATTTGCAAGCATTGTTGGATGCCACTAATACCCCTGCAACAAATGGATGTGGCTCACAAGATTCAGCCAGCAAAGAATGTAAGAACCCTCTTCTGTTTGTCAAAAGGAGTCAAGATAGAAACATTTATTCCCATGGGTGTTATCAGGTGGATGGCACAGCTAGTTCACTGTCTTTTCAAAAGGAGGAAGAAGAGCAGCTTGAGGGGGATGCCTACAACTGTTCAGCAGATCTGTTTGGTAGCTCAGACACGATCAATCTTGAAACGGAGAGGCTCACCATGCATGCAGAAGCCGTCGGTGATGGCATGGAAGCTTGCTCACAGTTTTCCAAGGCAGATGAGCATCATCTGATTTATGAAAATGCGAATGTGACACAATCAACACCAGATAAAGGGAAATTTAAAAAAAGTAAATGCAGGGAGAGTTTGATTCCACAAGACACAAAAGGATTTGACTTTGTCCCTCCCTCTCAGTCCACACCCATTGTAAAACTAGGCGTCGTATCATACTCATGTGTTGACTTGTACAAAAGCGTGACAGGTGAATTCAGTTCCCAGCCTGTCAATCAAAAAAGTTTTAATGCAAATTTACATGAAATGGAGAGTAAAAACAATTCTGTTCATAAACTGAACTGTGGTAATGCTGACCAGGCTTTGCAGAGTGAGATGGAATCTGTCAAAGAAAACTTTGTGTGGAGAACTACATCCAGCAGACACAGCCACAAACTTACCCCCAAAAGAAAATTCTTGAAACCAGTCGAGCATAAAAACAGTCTACATCCACTGCAGCACCTTAGGGTGCAGGAAGAGGCTCTAAACCGCATGTCAATCAACTGTAAAGCAAGATTTATTGACGTGTCAGAGTGTGGCTATGACAATGAAGCAATTGTTCCTCCTACACCTGCGAGTAAAATCCAACAAAGTGTGCCAATCCGCAAAAGAAAGCTGACAGACAACCGCAACAATTTTGGTTCCATCGAGTGTGTGCTGAGAAAGACAGAAAATTGTGACAGTGAAGAGGTTAGCGAAGGGATTCATGGGAGCCAGACATGTGACTGCTCTAGAGATCTGTTCTCTGACTCTTTCTGAGACATTGTGTTGCAGAGTGACTTGTAAGAAATCGTGCTCCATTGGAGTAATACTGCTGTTATTTTACTCTGTGTGAAACAGAAAAAGAGGGCTCATATATTAAACACTATAGATAGAAGAGAGATGCTGTCTTGACCTTCAAGTTTGCACTTTGACTGAAAGTGTAATGAATTCTCTTCCTCCGCCTTTTTCATCAAATGCTTAGTCTAACTCAATGTTTTTAATTTTTATGCACTGTTTAGAAAGCGCTTTTAATTAAATGAAATATATAAACATGTTACATTTACCACAATCATTGCCTGGTCTTATTACAACCTGAGCTTAGCAGCAGTTAAGGTGGGGCAAAATCTCATCAACGACTATGGTTTTTGAAACATGTATAGAATGTGTTTGTATGTCCACATACTTATAGATCCATATTTTTGAAAGTATTACTGTCTTCTTTGAACACATTAAGGCTTTTTTCTAAAGGCTCAAGTGACTAAAAGCTTGAGCTCACAAGCGTATGAAAAATTATAGCTATTTACTTTAAGATGTTTGTAAGGTTAATATGTAATTAAGTGGATATTTAATTGCTATCTATTCAAGGACAATAACATTTTTATTTTATGTTTTCATTTGTTTATATTAATACATGTCAATATAAATAAAGATTAAATACTATTACAAAAGATTATTTATGGAACAAAGGTCCCCTGATAGTTTAAGGCATGCTTTAGACCACAAAAGCCAACAACGCTGTCACATCCTGAAAGCTCTCCAGTATAATTTGAATCACACCAGAGTCCTAAGCAGACCTACTGTTCTCCTGGGTTCACACTGCAGTTGTGCCTTTCGAGGGGTGTTTATGTTGGGATGAGTGTGTAAGGTGTCATGCCAGAGAGCCAAGAATAGCAGCAATGACTACAATGTTCTGGGGGTGTGATCAAAATAGAGAAATGAAGACGATGTTACATTGGTAAAACTGGAAGTGGAACAAGTGAACAGCTGGAGCCTTGTACTGCATGTGTTACAGAAACAAGATTGGCATGTAGTCAGCTGGGTACGGCATTATTGTGTCTGTGTGTGAATGCACGTGCCTCTTTGGTTGGTACTTGTATCTTAAAAATGCTTATGTGCACAGTTTAACTGATTTTGGAAAACTCATGTGAATACATGTGACATGTGAATTTGCTGTTCATTTGGTTTCGCAAATGATTATGCATGGGTGTATCACAAAGTCTTGGTTTGCCAGACAGGTGGTTGAGACCGAAATATCTCTAAATCCCATGTACCATGATGTTGGTAATGGCCATGTGACGATACCTATGATCCCACTATATGTTAATCTACTTGATGCAATGGCAGAAGATTGCTTTTGAGGATCCCCTGCTTTTATTATATATTTTTTTCCACTAGGAGCACAGGCCAAATGAGATTATTATTGGAAATAAGTCAAACGTTTTTGATTTACTTCCATGCTGCATGTGATAGTCATCAAAGACCATTATCAGATAAGAATGAAAAAGAACCTATTATACTAGCTTGGTTTTGATTGTTGTTTCTCTTCTGTTAACCTTGTCAAACGACATATTCAACATTATGCTTTGATGTCCTCCAGCAACCATGGTTAACAGCCAACTAATAATGCCCTAAAGGACATTTTCAGTCACGAATGGATTCCAGGATCTGTGCAGTGTATTTTTGCAAGGCTTCTTCTTGTGGAGAGATGAAAAACAGACCATGTATTTGGTGTCGAGAGTTTTATGAGTACTTGACAATTTCTTTGTGAAATTTTGCTTTGGTGCCTGTTTTTGGATTAGGTCACAGTGACATCCAGCTACTACTGCAATGTGGTTATTCTGCTATCTGTTGTTAGCTGCTTCATTAATAATAAAAAAAATGTATTCTTTAGTTTCAGTAAGTTTAATTACATGATTTATGCAAATAGGAAACACAAAATGAATGTTTTCATATTCTGAATGAATGTGGAAATGCAAATGTGATGATTCAGGACTAGCAAGTATTGCAATTTGCAACTTACTGCACTAGTTTACATAAAATATAGGTGAATGGGATAAATGGGATTGTTTTTGTTTCTATGTAAATTAGTCCTTAGCCTTTTGAGGCTTTATGAGTGAAGCCCCATAACATCATATTGTTCCAAAACCTGCAGCTGTGTCTGTGAGCAAGGGAGACACTGCCTTTGCATGCAGCAGTACAGTACGTGAGTTATGTCACCAAGCACCCAGTGAATGGAAACATTCAAAGCCACGGTGTGCCAAGCTTAAAGTACGTGTGGTACTCTGAGAGAGAAAGGGGTGGGAGGGGCTGAGGGGCACGGTTACGTAATTCAAATAATTACTATATAGGGCAGATCGATTAACTATTAAAATTCTGTTTTTGTTCATACTATGTATATGCTTTCTTTGACATTCTTTTAAAATTCGGCTGCAGTGAGAGGCAGAAATCATGAGACACAGAGTCATGCATTAAGAGTCACCTGGCTGGAGTTGTACTATTAATCATACAGTGATGTCATGCACCTCAACCATTGGCCAGCTAAGAGATACAATTTTGTGATACTTTGCCTGTTTATTTTACCTACATTGCACTGTGGCACTCGATGACTTCACATTGCGTATACTAAAAGTACTAATGCTAAAGCGGACATTTTTAACACCTGGCAAAATATTCATTTTCCATTTTCTTGTACTTTTATAAACATGTTATAATGAAGCTGACTAAAAAAATACAGTATATATATATGTATATATATATATATTTTGGTATACTTTGAAAAACGAATATAATTTGTAGCATATGCAATAACTATGCACTTAATTCTTCATACTTTAAATATTTCATAGCAGCTAAGAATTTTTCAGTCCTTGACCTTCCTCGACATTTCCTGCGACATTAAGGGTTGTGACCCTCTTTTTAGTTCCACTGGACTTATTTTTATTACTTACTTTGTGATGCAGTAGTAGTGCTACTGCACACTTTTTAGGTTAAATGTCCTGCTGCGTTGTGGACGGAGGTGTGGCTGTGACATTAGAGAGCTAAAGAGATTAGAAAGGCGTGACAGGCACATGGTGTGGAAGGGTGGAGAAATGGCTTAGTATGGCGTTGTCAACAAAACGTCAGCTGAGGGGGACTGGCTCGTAGTCCTGACACTGGAGAAGCTCCCCTCTGTAGAATCAAAGCAAATAGAAATACTTAAATACATCCCACTTTTCTTTTTTAGTGCTAATCATAATGCTTTTCTCTAACTTTACCATTTCAGCAGAAGACTGGTGGAGACTCAGAGCTAACAGAGTAATTAATGTTTTGATAAGATTAAAATCAGCTGTGCACTCTGAATGTCTATAGTTCACATTAATTGCAGACTATTTTATAACTGTCCATGACCTCTGACCTCTCAATAAAAATAAAAGCTCCTTAAAATACTTCCTGCTTCTGTTTTATTATGGGTATGAGGGACTTAATAGGAGCTTGCACTGTCTTTTGTCTGATGTGAGTACAAATACTGGTTCTGATTGCTTTAGTTCTGTGGTATCTTGTTGGCTGGTCCGTGGGCTGGTCTCAGTCCTCTCCCCAAAAGAGGCTATGGAGATTCTGACGTTAGACGCTAGCACTCCTTATAAGCACCTGTCCATTCATGTCACGCCATGCTCCCAATAGGAAAAGCGTGTGATTGTTTTCCGAATGAGACAGTGTGCGTAGATAGTAAAGTGGTACTATATATCCTGCATATACAGTTCTTTTCTTCATTTCACTGCAAGCAAGACAGCCGAGGTTTGTTGTTTTTCTTCCAACATAATATGGAGGTAAGGGATCATTTTTCCTAATGTACATTTGAAATAGTATGTTTGATCAGTTTAATAGTCAGGTATAAGTTTGGAGTTCAGAGTAGATTTTTTAGCATTTTTGTTGTATATTAACAAGAAACAAAGACATTTATTGACAGCTGTGTGTATTTAAAATCTGCTTTTTTCCCATGTGCTCAAAGTAGTTCTAGAAATTTAGAAAACCTCATAAAGAAATGTCTTATGATTTTAACAGCTTATATATTTAAGAGAAAGGCAGTCTGCTTTTATATTCTTCGTGTGTGCACATTTTCTTTAATTTGGCAGAAATGGGGACATAAAGCTCTAGAATACATGTCCTTACTAAGTTTTAACATCTGTTGGATAGTGCATTTTAGGACAAAATCTTTAAGCCTTAAAATATGCTTTAGATAGTGAAATGTTTAGGAAGCACGCAGAGCTTTTTCAGATTTGTTTTGATCACTTTAATTATTCCTTCTGTTCAAAGTAACCTAACCTTGCCACTGTTTAGTGATGGGTGATACAATCCAAATCCAATCGATACAAAAATGTAACCCCGCTTATCTGAAGGCAATAAGGTGCTTTGGCAGTGTGAGCAAAATTATCAGGTGTATTTACTCTTTGCAGTGACAAACTGCAAGTGATAAACTGACAAAATTTGGTAATTAAGGAAGTGTATTATTGAGATTCGCCGCCCTAGTTCATCAAACATGGACAGTGGAATCATCTCATTAGCTTCAATGCACTGATTTTGATTAATTTGATTTTGTCACCTGATTAATGCTGTGTCAAGTGTCTTTGTGAACGTGTTCGTACTAGCACTTGATTATAATAAGCAAGAATCTATTTTTACTTACTGCTCTGTACTCTCCAGGTGGCACCTTGTGCCCAGGAAGTTGGTAGACATGCGGCATTACTGTTGGCTTATCTGAACTTGCAGAGAAAACAAGGCCACTTTTGTGACCTTGTGCTCAGACCGGGACAGAATGCAGGTCAACTTTACCCCGCACACAGGTGAGAAAAATAAGCTAATAACAAACAAACACACCAACATATACATATCATCAAACTGCCCAATGATATCATGATTATACTAACAGTGTGTGTCTTACACGATGTTCAGGATTTCAGACCTCACCACAAAACTGCTCTTTGTTCCCCCAGATGTGTGCTGGCAGCCTCTAGTCCAGTGTTGGCATCTGTCTTGTCCTCTGCTGGCGCTCTGGTGGAGCTGCAGGCCAAATGTCTCTCTGACTCTGTATTAACACCTCTTTTGGACTATATTTACACAGGGGATTTGCCCTACAGTTACGGCCAGCAACAGTATTATAGTCTGCTCACAGCTGCCTGCTACCTGCAGATGGATGAACTGCAAAAGGCTCTGAGGGCTCAACAGCAGACTGAGGTTTGCACTGCAAATGGCGCAGAGGCTTCTGCTGAAGCTGAAAAGAATTCTTATAGGACAACTGTGAATACCTCCCCTCATATGCCATCAACATCCAGCATTTTTACCTTTAGAAAACCTGACAAAACAAACATCTCCAGTGAACAAAGTATGACAACTTCACCAGACAGCGATATTCAGTATCAGGATTCAGACAATGTGGATCCGTTTAGTGAAAGTCAGATGCTCTCAGCTGCTATGGATTGCAGCACTGATGAAGTAGAAATAGATACAGGTAGAAATAGCAGAGACCACTGCAGTGGAAGGGATGCAAGGACTTTAAGCTATCCAAGTGCACCCTGTGGTATACTTGAAAGAACTGAAAGGAGCACAAATGCAGGACATGCCAGACAAGCAACTTATCTAACGCCACAGCATTTGACTCTGAATGTCCCTAGCATTGCTGAAGTGTATCACACGTCTAAAGTGGACAAAGAGGCGGAAAAGGATCGGCTTAATCCAGCTGGCATCTGGCAAAGGTACACAGGTGACACTCTGGTGAGGACAGCTGAAAATAGGAGGAGCTCATCTTCATCCCCACATTCATATTGTGCGGCAGTACCTGTCATCTGTCACAGCAGCAGAGCAGCTATCCCCCAGCTAGCAGATGTGTCTCCTGTGTCTCCCTGCCATTCAGCCCTCCAGACTTCAAGCAACTCCAGCAGGTCTCCAGTCTCACGTTCAGCGAGCATAGAAAATGACAGCATTATTGAAGGTATTACATCTAAATGCAAACGTCAATATCAAGCACAGAGCCAGGAATACGGCCACAATAAAAAACACACTATTACACAAAATCTGAATAACAAGGATAATTTAGATCAATGTGCTTTACAAGATTTATATTACAAATCCAGTGGAGGTAGATCTCATTTTGACAGCAGCGATTCAGATCATTTTACAATGCAGGGCAATGAATGTGTTGACAGAGGATCATCTCACTTTACCAACAATAATGATCAGCATGCTTATTGTGATTCCTTTCAGAAAAATACACACAATCTTAGAGAAGATTCAGTGCTGCAGAGTAAGGACTGGAGTCAAGAATTGAAGCATAAAATTGATCTCAGGTTTGATGATTTCTCAACCAAAAAAAAGCAGCTGGATTTCTTTGAATCCTACAATGTCAGCAAATTGGCAACAGCAACAGCAGAACCAGGAGGTCTGAGAGCTGAAGTTCCACTTATTGCTCATCCTGTGGAGGACTTAAACACAGAACATCTAGGTCCAGAGGAAGAGGTGAAAGAGGAACACAGTTACTCTAATAGAGTTCCAGCTGAAAGTGATATACAGGACAGCCACTGCAACTATGAACCAAAGAAAGGGTACTCAAACATATACAGAGCTGACACAAGTGCAAACAATGCTCCTTCTAACCATGATTCAAACTACAGTCCTACAGCGGTGGACACCAAAGAATACCATGCTGATAGCTTCCCGAAAGCTCTGCAAACTGAAAAGACCTCAGGCACTGACATCACAGAATCACATTCGATTTTTACAATGCCTGCGGACAGAAACATGTCTGACACCAGTGTTGACAGTGCTGTGAGACACTCTTATCATGGACATCTTCGTTATCATTGCCTACAGCATGATGATATGCAAGAGGATGTGCACTTATTGCAGGGTGGTTCTGATCACAAACGCTCCCACTCAAACCACTTTGATGATTCTGATGGTTCAAGTGCGGAGGAAGACTTTGGTGCCTTTGAGAGTCCCCTAAAGCAGCACTACAGCTCAACAGAGACTACAGACCAGTTTCTTCTTCTGGATATTAGCACAAGACCTGCAGAACTATTAGTATCCTGCAAACACCGATCTGGCATAGAAGAGAAAGGGGATATGTTTGAAACTGGAATCTGGGCATATGATGGAGCAGAGAGGTACGAAAAAACATCTGTAGCATCTGTTGAAATGAAAACAGTTATGGCTAGGGCTAAATTTGGAACTGGGAGACTTGATATGGGTGGCACACACTGGGCTGCAAAGACAAATGCTGAGGAAAGAAAGCCTGTTGTTCAAAGTAGTCCAGCTGTTGAGACTATTCAAAATTCTTGCATTGTGTCTGAAGTTTCCAACCTTAAAGAAGGTGAGAACCAAACCATTACCTCGACACACTGTTCACCTCCTGGAGTGTCAGACTCCATGCAACCCTCTGTGTCTTTTTGCATGGCATCTGGCCTTTCAACCAGCATGCCAACCAATAGATCAGCTCATCTGTCATCTCCTGTTCACCACCCATTCCAATGCTCTCTATGCGACCGTTCCTTTAGCCAGCGAGGTTCTCTAAATAGACATGTGCGGAGCCACCTTGGTGTAAGGCCCTTCCCCTGCCCCCGCTGCCCTATGACTTTTTCACGCCAATACCGTGTCACCGAGCACATGCGTGTTCATCAGCGATGTACCCCTGGGAATGATTTTCAAAAGCCTCCTGCTTCATCAACTTGAGACTTTGAGGAAAAGCTAGGAAACTGAAATGCATTTTTCATTATAATATAATGTGTGTTAGGATGACAGTTTCCTTTAGTGTCTTGCAAATATATGTAAGACAGGGAATTTTTTTACATGTTCGATTTTTAAAATCAGAACTTGCAGATGAAAGTTAGTGACTTTAATGCAATTAATATAGGCTATTCTAAATAAGCAAAAACAGTAGGAGGGCAAGAAAGTAAAGAAAAATAAATGTTGTGGATCTTAATCATTTTAATATGCAGCAGTAGGTAATCCTGTTGATTCACAGCTAGAGCATCCTGGATTCAAACCAGGGCAGGGCCCTCCTGTTTGGAGTCTGTGCATTTCATCCGACCTCTGGGATATCTGGTTTCTGTCACCAGCAAAAACAAGTGTTCTTGCGCCCTTGACAAAGGTAATAAAACTGGTGGGAGTTGTTTCCCATAATGTGTTCAGTATAGAGAATTTGTTTTCCTACAGCCATTAAATAAAATAATCTATTAACTGAACATAGTGCAAAGGCAACATATCAAATGCATAAACAGAGAATGAATCAAATGAAATGCTTTTTTGAATTTGATGCCAGCAACACATTAAGAACAGAGTGCGAGACAAGGCCATGTTGGCAGTGATGCATCATCTCTGATATCAGAAACCCTGTATAAGTATTTGGCAACTGAGGTAACTAAATGCTGAAGTTTTAAAGGCAATATGTTTCCCATTCTTACCTTAGTGGAAGATTTTAGCCTTTAAAGACTCTTTAATTGTTGCAATGTTATTTTGTCATTCACTTGTTGAAATGAGCCTTTCCTTAAAAAGGTTTTCCTTTGGATGAAAGGACTTATTCCAAAACCTGTATACTAATCCACTAATATACCTCTATACCATGCAGTACTTTGAAATGTGCATTGATAACAAACCACATGGCCCCACTTCTCTTTACTGCAGATTTTGTTTTTCATATATACATGTGTGCATGTGAGGATGTTCATTTTTAATCTTTGCATTTTTTTTTTCCGCTAACATTTGTGAATGCAACAACAAATCTTGTGATTAAATATTCCTGAGCCTATGCAGTTATTTCCAGTACAGAACAAATTTGGTTTTAAATACAGTTCTGCTTAGCTGCCATGTCACCATTGGCCTTTGTGAATATCTCTGCATACACAGATTTCTCCAGATTTTCTGTATCTTTCAGTGATATTATGTAGCTGTGTCTTAAATTGGAAATATTGTTCTTAAATTGTCTCTTACAGAGTTGTGAATTCCTCCATTCCTCTGAAAGATGTGTCCTCTTTTTTCTGTTCCTTTTATAACCAGTCATGTTGTTTAGTCATTGTCTTCCTCCATGTCACCCTATCCTAGCATTCTCCTGTTAGCCCTAAATTTACATATCCTTCATTCTTCACCATTTTTTTTTAATTGCCCCATTATAACATTTGCTTACATCAAATTCAAAAGTATACAATTTTTAACAGTTGATATATTCCCTTTTTACTATTTTAAGCTAAACATATGGTATGACTGATTTGCAAATCAGTACGAAACCCAGAAGCAACCTGGAAAACAAGGTGGCATTTCCCTGCAAACTAAGTGTAGAACAAATGAATATTTTATGTTTATATATTTGGTATTTCACAATAACAATGTGAAAATAATGGCCAAATCTACAGAAAATACCATTCTGCAGCTTCCCTCTACTTTATCTGTTCGGCTTGCAGTTTACCGTACTGGCAGCTATTGCGTTCGCATATCAGTGTAAAACACTCTAAAAGATTGCGGTATACTACTGGCACCAAACAACAGACAGATACCAGCTCATGCACAAAGTAGATCATTTAGTATCTAAACAGATAGAGTTTATTAGAGACCAAACCGAGTAAAACTCAATAATGACTTCACATTCACCAGGTAGCCAGAACCATGACATTTCCTCTCTGTGTGTGATTTAATTTAAGGTATTACCATGTCAACTAACTGGCTGGTACATTATATTCCAAAGTTGCTTTCACGGCCTTTCACTTCCACAGGTACCAGAGCTGTCTAGTCTAATGCAGAGAGGGAGACACACACATATTCTATGCTCTTATTAACTTTACATGTTTAGCCATTAAGTAGTGTAGTAGATCTTTGCCATAATATTGACTTCATTCCATTTAGTGTTGTGATTCTGAATGTCTCTATATGTAATAGTTATATGTCTCACATAGTGTTCCCTGTAAGAGAGGACAGCTTGTTGGGTGTCACAGTGTTTGTGCCAATGGTGTGAAACACGAGTCAAGGGCAGCTATGAGGTTCTGTGCATGTTCTGTCTGGTCTATTCCAAAATATTTCTGTTAGGGACAGAAGGGTGAAAAAGGATCATATTATTTGGTATCTTACACCTGGTATGAACTATTGGTACCTTTGATAGGTAAATACATATATAAATAAAAGGGCAATGCAATTTATGAGAGGTGCTTTAAGTTCCTAAGATTGTGTTTTCATGTTCTGAAGTTCCCGCCTATTTTAATTTTTTTTTTAAAGTTGGGTTATTAACTTGTGATGCTAAAAAAAACCTTGTAGGACATTTACTTGTGTACTTATGATTAATAAGGACTGTTAATATTGTTTTGTTATACTAATGTAATAGTTTGGGCTCTATGGCTTTTGAAACATTAGCTGTGAGATGAGCAGTCTCCAGATAAAATCAACCAGCTGATCTAAGAACACTGGAACAGTCAAACTGCAAAGTGAGACAAAGACAAACATTTCTGATAAAAAAGATGTAATTAATTTTGAGATCATTTAACTTTAATATTATAAGAATGTAACATTGTACTTTAACTGCATTAAAAGGTTTCATGAAAAATGTTACGATACCTTAAAAATATTTGTGTGTGTGTCTTTCTTGCATCTCCTTTCTGTTTCTTTACTAACATACAAACACACATATATCAGCACACATTACAAACAAATACAATTAGTAGGGAAATATGAAAAAAGGTGCAACACATGCAATAATGCAATTAATTAATTGTATTAATTTTATAAGGAACCATCAGAATAGTTGCTAAAACTCAGTTGAGGAGGTGCCCCAACAGAATTAAATGGCAATATCTAATTAATTAAGGTAAATTGGACCAGTAAATACATTTGTACATAAATTTGGTTTATTAAGGATAATATTAGCATGTGACATGGAATATGAACCATACTTGTATGAAACAGATTATTAATTTGTTCCTTATTGATTTATCAAGTTTATGTTAGGTTATACACCATGCAATTTCAAAACGATGCATTGAATCTGCCGCTTCAGCAAACTAAAACTAAAGGGTTTGTTTATACAGTATATATATATTTCTTCTCTTAATTTTTCACACTTCAGACAGTCCTCTTGTGTTTGCTATTCAACTGACGAATCAGGCGATGCAGCAGTCATCACTACAATGGCCTAAAGGAGGAGAAAAAATTAGCGTAACTTGACCTTTTGCAACTTTTTAAAACAAATATTGGGTAATAAGTTCCTTGTAGGACATTCCCAACACTAAGCAATGACTGCAGTGTGCCCTCTTACCTGGCTTTTTGTGGATCGCAGGGCAATGCCAGCCAGAGCTGACATTACAATGAAAATAACCGCTACAACAAAAGTGTAGAACACAAAAACTGCTTCCAAAGCCAATCCCATGAGCTAAAAAAAAAAAAAGGTTGACATTAAAGAAATGAAATACACTGTTACGTAGCATTTAACGCTATATTATATTTAATTTAATACATTTAAGAATTTAATTAGTTAAATTTAAAGCTCCAGTCAAAATACATCATGCTGTCCAAAAGATAGGTAAATAACAATAACAATAACAGAGACATAAAACCTGAGGCTGAGAAATATGATAAAACAATTACCTGGCGATTTTCCATTGGTTCAGTAAATGAAAAGGTTCCATTATCATAGATGTAATCTAGGTGGTAGGAATATGCTTCTATGTCAGGCAGGATGCGTATTAAAGTCCAGCATGCGACCAGTATGGAGACAATGCTCAGAGATAACGAAATGGTTACCTGCAGACACCAACAGACAAAGATGGGGGTGATACACAGTCATTTAAAACAAATAAATTCCACTGTAGTCTATGCAGTTCTGTGAAAAACTGAGTACACATGAGAACCACTTTTAGCAGCAATAACTTCAACTAAAATGTGATAAAGAAATCACAACCTCAAGGGTTAGGGTTCTGAGAAACTTCTTAAGAAAAAATCCCATTATATTGAGGTTGGTAAGCATTTGTTTATGCACAGCTCTCTTAAGGTCCAGCCACAGAATTTCAGCTGGACTCAGCTGGACCATTTCAGCACCTCAAGTATTTTTATTCCCAGTTTCTTTCTTGTAGATTTGCTGGTGTCCAAGGTTTTGCTGTGAAAAGGCTTTCTAATGGAAACCCTTCCAAACAAACTATTCTCCTTCAGTCTTTTTCCAGTTGTACTGTCATAAAAGTTAACATTTAACATGCTAACAAAGACCTGTAGTATAGTTTGTTTGTCGCATGATCTGACTTTGGGGTGAATTATATGATGTCCACATAGTGAAGATTGTTGTTAACATACAGTGGGGCAAAAAAGTATTTAGTCAGCCACCGATTGTGCAAGTTCCCCCACTTAAAATGATGACAGAGGTCAGTAATTTGCACCAGAGGTACACTTCAACTGTGAGAGACAGAATGTGAAAAAAAAAATCCATGAATTCACATGGTAGGATTTGTAAAGAATTTATTCGTAAATTAGGGTGGAAAATAAGTATTTGGTCACCTCAAACAAGGAAAATCTCTGGCTCTCACAGACCTGTAACGTCTTCTGTAAGAAGCTTTTCTGTCCCCCACTCGTTACCTGTATGAATGGCACCTGTTTGAACTCATCATCTGTATAAAAGACACCTGTCCACAGCCTCAAACAGTCAGACTCCAAACTCCGCCATGGCCAAGACCAAAGAGCTTTCGAAGGACACCAGGAAAAGTATTGTAGACCTGCACCAGACTGGGAAGAGTGAATCTACAATAGGCAAGCAGCTTGGTGTGAAAAAAATCAACTGTGGGAGCAATCATCAGAAAATGGAAGACATACAAGACCACTGATAATCTCCCTCGATCTGGGGCTCCACGCAAGATCTCATCCCGTGGGGTCAAAATGATCATGAGAACGGTGAGCAAAGATCCCAGAACCACACGGGGGGACCTGGTGAATGACCTGCAGGGAGCTGGGACCAAAGTAACAAAGGTCACCATCAGTAACACACTACAACGGCAGGGAATCAAATCCCGCAGTGCCAGACGTGTTCCACTGCTGAAGCCAGTGCATGTCCAGGCCCGTCTGAAGTTTGCCAGAGAGCACATGGATGATACAGCAGAGGATTGGGAGAATGTCATGTGGTCAGATGAAACCAAAGTAGAACTTTTTGGTATAAACTCAACTCGTCGTGTTTGGAGGAAGAAGAATATTGAGTTGCATCCCAAGAACACCATACCTACTGTGAAGCATGGGGGTGGAAACATCATGCTATGGGGCTGTTTTTCTGCCAAGGGGACAGGACGACTGATCCGTGTTAAGGACAGAATGAATGGGGCCATGTATCGTGAGATTTTGAGCCAAAACCTCCTTCCATCAGTGAGTACTTTGAAGATGAAACGAGGCTGGGTCTTCCAACATGACAATGATCCAAAACACACCGCCCGGGCAACAAAGGAGTGGCTCCGTAAGAAGCATTTGAAAGTCCTGGAGTGGCCTAGCCAGTCTCCAGACCTCAACCCCATAGAAAATCTGTGGCGGGAGTTGAAAGTCCGTGTTGCTCGGCGACAGCCCCAAAACATCACTGCTCTCGAGAAGATCTGCATGGAGGAATGGGCCAAAATACCAGCTACTGTGTGTGCAAACCTGGTAAAGACCTATAGTAAACGTTTGACCTCTGTTATTGCCAACAAAGGCTATGTTACAAAGTATTGAGTTGTATTTTTGTTATTGACCAAATACTTATTTTCCACCCTGATTTACAAATAAATTCTTTACAAATCCTACCATGTGGATTCATGGATTTTTTTTTCACATTCTGTCTCTCACAGTTGAAGTGTACCTCTGGTGCAAATTACTGACCTCTGTCATCATTTTAAGTGGGGGAACTTGCACAATCGGTGGCTGACTAAATACTTTTTTGTCCCACTGTACATCTGAATGCTCCAGACCAGCAAACTGCCAAAAACATCTACTTTTACAGAGATGCTCTATTAATCAAGTGCATTTGCAGCACTACATACCCTGTTTATTTCTATGGAAGCAGTAAAGGTGTGATTTATCTTCACAGGTGTTAAGATATTAACAATGTTCAAATATAAGTCAAACTATAAATTAAACTATAAATCACTGACGATAATGCAATATTAAATTCTAAGGCATCCATGAACACTTTTATTTGAAGAAACCTCTTGTTCAATTTCTAGTTCTAGTATAATTTTGCTATAATATAACATTCATCATATTTCAGTAGAACTTACTGTTTTCTTGGTGGTGTTATGTTGTGCCAAAATGTATGTAATTCCACATATGATTAACTATGAGAAGACAGAGAGAAAGACAGATTTATTACATATCCCATGTGTTGGATGTTTGTAAGGTGACAGGAAAGCAAACACTGACACTAAAATAAAGTGCAATATAAATTCTGATTATTTAATACTTCTTAAGTTAATGTTAAGTTAATGTTAAGTTAAAAAATATTGAGTCACGTCAAACTTCCCAAGGCACTCTTTATTATTCTTGAACTACCAACCAGTGTCCCCAGCAGGAAGCCTGGTGGGATGACTGTCCATACATCCATCATCTGGGAGTCTGCCGTGATCGCAACGGATATGATAAAGAAGGATGCACCCAAGATCAGCACAATTGTCTAGGAGAAAACATAAACAACGTTTAGCATGATTTTGTTAGCTATGTTTTATTTTCTGTGGCAATATAAGCCTCAAGTTCTTCTCAAATGTGGAAAGATACTGAAATGAAACAAAACAACAAACATTCATGTGCATTTGTGTATGTGTCAGTGTCTTACACCAATAATTTTGGGTTGTCCCTTTAAGAAGCGGTGTAAAGGTTTTGTGCCCCCCACTGAGGTGCCTTGAGGATTTCCATTATTCCCACCTGGATCACTCACAGAGAGGAGCTCAGCAGACATCTAACCCATTAACACACAATGGTTCACAATCATTATTCTCAATCAATTCTTAACAAATGCATGTATCAAATGTCAGATTTATCATCTGAAAAACTCTGGCAGCATGTGTGTAGCTAATGGGATTTCTTCTTATGACAGCAAAATATTTTTTCACTTTTAATCATAATTATACACTACAGCATTAATTTTTAGTTGTATCTTAGGAGATAAAAGCTCCCGGAGTCCATTTAAGCTTGTTGAGAAGCCCAAAAGCCTGATGCTACAGATGCTGCTGAAATAGCATGGAGTCTGCAACAGATTAGCTACTAGCAACTGACCAACAATAGTCCAATAGACTGGCTGCCTGGTGCTTCAGCTTGTTGTCTGTAAGTAAACTGAGCAACTGTAGACAGTAAGCACATTCACAACATAAGCAGAAGTACTGTACTATAAAATATCTATTAAAAAAAGGAAAATCTGCTGTTCCACCAATCCACCGACACTCAAAAGCGTGTCTGCTTTAAGCTACAACTGTACTTCATTTTGAAGTGACTGACTACAAAATAAAGTTGTTTTTTTTACCAAGCAAAAAGAAAGCTAGTAAACAAGAGAAAAAACAGACCGTAGGCAGCTGTGCAGTCAGAGCTGTAGTTCAGTGTGGAAGCTCCTCATATCAGGTTCATATCTGGAGCAGCT